CCTGCTGAGAATTGTTCTCAGCCCCAGATTCGCTCTTTGTTGCACTTCATGGATGTTTTTTCCACTCCCTCATTTGCACTTCTCTGTGGTACTCACACAACCCCTGAAGTTAAAACTTTTCATGGATAAATTCAGAATGATGGTCTGAGAACTACAAGAGTCTCAACCTTGCTTCTGAACCAGGGCAGTCAGATCAGAATTGCAAATACCTTGGTTGAGCAGCCAATTTCTCAACTTCACCTCCAGCATTAAACTCTCCCATTTTTTAGTACTTCTGCCAGCACATTAGAAGATCTACCAGGGAACAAGGAAAACATGGTATTAACTACTGCTACCATTCAATTAGCACCACTGGGGCTAAGAGACTTCCAAGGAAAATAGAGGTGTGGATACAGTCTTCAAAAACGCATTTCATTAGGTAAATTAGCAGTCATGATTGTAAAGTCTTTTCTTAACTAACAACTTGGACTCAAATTGTGTAAGTATTGTGTCTACTGGCACAAGGTCAAGTGGTGGTTCCTATTTATACTAATGGCAAACAATTAATCATTGCCCTAGAAAACAGTCTGAGGCTCTCTTCACACAGAGGCGACCTGCTAGGTGACCTCTGCTGTATTAATTACTGGCACTCATCTTGGTGTCCAGGGAAGCACATCCCCAAGCTGAAGCCATCTGTGGAGTCCAAAGTCAAGTGGACCTTTCCCAGTCTGCTTAGCTGACACATGGTCCCAAATTTAGTTTTCTACACTGGAATTATTTGTCCAATAAAGTTACACCAGCAAAGTCCACCAAGAAGTCTTCTTTCTAGTATAGTTTAAAATGGTCACAAAAATTGGAAGAACTGTACCAGCAGAAACCTTCTTGTTTTTAATAACTGTACCACAGGATGGATCCTCTGCTAAGACAGGGACCTCAGTAAAGGTGATGGGGTTTTGGGGGGAGCTTTTTTATTTGGTTTACCATTTTTTAAAATTATTTTTTATATCCCTTTTGTGTTTAGCTATAACAGCAGAAGCTTATAAAATGTTTTTATAAATAACTCTAACCTATAAGGGGTTCTCTTCCTTATCTCAACTTGCTGCCATAGACTGCACCTAGTGAAATTAACACAACAGATGTTAAAAGCACGTCACTCAATTATGAACAAGGTTTACAGTTCTAGACATTTTCCATACATTCATATATCAACTTGAAAACCAACTGGCAAGAGAAAAATACAAGTACACTTTTATGACATGCATTAAAGTCTAATTTGTAGCAGCTTCTTTGGCACTCAAATAGCAGGAGTATCAGTTTTAATTTATTCATTAGCATTTGTCTGAAAAATTTGGGGCATGATTATGTCCAGATATTAAACCTTAGTAACAACCTAAATTGATAAAAAGAGGAAGAACACCCCATAAATTCAAGGAAGACTTATTTTCAATAAACCCAAGGAACTTAATGTGTATTTTCACTTATAAAGATAAAATCCCTAAGATACAACAAACCCACAGTACCACAAATGCAGCAAAGGCCTTTTTTCAAATCCCACTTAATTGAACAGTAAACTCCCACTTCAGATTAACAGGAAATTGTTCAAAGGCCAAGGAGGTGAAATGAATGGCGTGCAGTCTCAGGGCTGGTAAATGCTGATAAAAAGATTAAGAGATGGAATCATAACTGGATGTCAGCATTACTATTCTTTATATTGCTATGACCAAACTAACAATTGTATAGAGTTGGTTGGATTTTTCACCTCCTGACAAATCAAAGAAATAAATGAAAAGCAATCATGTGTCATCATCAGCTTGATTAACTGAGAACTGTCTCTTAAAAGCAAATGTCAAAAGTTACATTTATATGGTTAACAGTAAAAAAAAAAAATTTGGTTATTCGTGATGCAGTTTAGAGAATTTCATGATTTCTTGTAAAACTTGTCACAGAGCAATAATATTTCACTTTAACAACCCAATCAACGCTTCTGCACAGCCTTCTAACATCATCTGGTATTGAGTCAGAGCAAGCAGAACAAGGAAAAGAATAAGTAAAACATCACATTCAGAGGCACTGAAAATCCACAAGTCCTAGTTCATTACTATCCCTGAAAGTCTGTCTCAAAAATGCTTTTTGAACTACACAAATGTTGCAGTTTTCTTTGATTCTTAATAAAATAGTTGATATAATTCTTCTATGGCAGATGAACACCACAAATTCCTGATTAAAAGGGATCAGTTTAAAAAGCAACCTCCTGAGAGCCATAACCTAACTACAATTAAGTGACATTTTTTTAAAAGCATTTTTAAATTACTCAGCACCACAAGACTCAAGATTCCTTCCCCCTCTCCCATGTACTGCAAGACAAAATTGTTCCTTGTGAATATCAACTCTTTATTCTCTCATTGATATGTAGGAGAAAACAGGTCCCAGCAAGAGTTTGGAGACAAAAGTCAGTAATTCCCCATCTTAAAAAAAAAAAACACCACCTCTTTTGGTACTCAGGAGAAAATACAAACATGTAGCAACAGGAGAATTCTCATCACTGGCAGTATCCTATTCTTTGTGTATACAGTGCTCAGTGTATAAATACAGTATGCTTTAAATTACAGGATAAGAGGAGTGGGTGATAAGAGAGGCATTAGAGCGCTGCTAGTCACGTTAATCGTATTTATTGATTGAACACTGAACGCTTTGCCAGCTTCTCTGACAAATTGGAATGGCTTTGGTAACCCCTCTCCAACGTGGGTGTTCTGTCTCATTCTCTTTTACATCACTCATTACACCTCCCGGGAATACACAAAGGCTTTCTCTGCTGGCTGTCCTCACAGCTCTCTTTGCCTGCCAAGCACTCTGTTGCCCTCTCATCCCCCCATTAACACCTGCATGATCCCACAGGAAAAACCTGGAGTGCATTTAAAAACCCCTTTCTCTATGCCTGTGAAAGAATCCCTCTCGGCTGTTGTGCTGTGCTTCATGGGAGCTGTGTTACATGCCCTGTGGGAGCAGAAGTGACAGCAGATGTCACAGCAGACACTGTACTCCCTCATCCAGTTTAACCTTGGCTGCACCTACGCAGTTATGACATGCGGGAGCTACTGACACAGACTGAGTCCATTTTTTTTAAACTTGTCTTTAAAGGTAAGACATGAACATTCTGATTGTGCATAAAAAAAGATTGGCAAATGGAACTTTTCTAAAAATAGTTACACGGAGTGTCTAAAACCACCTTCTTGGTGTTCCACACCTGCCCTCTGTTGCATCTCTGCCTGCTAAACAAACGTAACTGCAGGCACGACAAAGACACAGACAGATAAAATCGAGGTGAGTTGCATTCACTGCCCGTATTACATCATCTCTAACAGTTTTGGATTAAAACTGAATTACTGTGCTATCATCCTTTTCACATTTGGCAGAGTAAGATTACAGTACATTCTTCCCAAAATACACCAAATGAAACAACTTACGCCAAGCGTTTCAGGTATTTTTAGACAATGCAATAAAATAAAACTGCAAGATTATTCTTACAGTTCACATTCCCAGTCTATTTGTACTTTAAAAATTATCTCAGGCAATTCTCCCATCAGAGGTGATGATGAAGATTCCATCAAACTCCAGAGAGCTCTCTGGGAGTCTGGGAGGGAAGCCATGTCCTACGGTCCTTCATAGAGAGTTCCAGCAGCTCTCCCTACAGAGTTCAGTTTTGAGATGCTGAAGCAAGAGACTGTTGTTAGTGATTAACGCTTCACACATCTCTCAATCACATCCTGAAGATGGCTACAGGAACTCTACAAACTCTTCTAAAATCTTTCATGTGACACTACGACCCGATTCACTTCCTTAAAAAAAATTAAAAATCACATGTCTGAAAATTTAAGCACATGAAATGGGAACTGGGTGATACAGAATAAGGCTGTAACATTTCCCACCAAAATACTTCTACATACCTAATTACTGAAAAAGTCAATGACAAATTGATTTGTCAGTTGTGCAGACACACTCTGCAAAATAATCTACCTTAGAGAGATACGACTCATTCAATATCAGATTTCAAGTGCTTGTAGAACGAGAATATAGGAAAAATAATTTAAAGGGGAAAAAAGAAAACTGATTTTGTAGTGCATGGTAGAGTGAAATTAGGCAATTACATTCTGAAACGTACATCTCAGAACAGAACTGTTCAATACAGAGATCACTACATTCCCTTTTCTAATTTTTGATTTTGAAGAACATGCATACCATGCTCAGTTGATTAAAGCAAGAAAAAAGCCTTTCAAATTTGGCAGTTTTCTCTCCCATGTTTCACACTCAGACTGATGATGACTTTGTAGCAGCTTCCTCCATCTTAACCTCTGCAGCACCTAGATGTTTTCACCTTCTCAGACCTCATCTCAAGAACTGTTTCTCCTCCTGTTGGCCCACACACAGCCTCTAGATCAAATGCTGCTGTAGTCCGAGCTGCGGGCAGCAAGTGCTGCTGCTGCTTTCCACTCCACTGTGAAGAAGGTAATTGTTCCAAAGAAGCCCACAACCACCATGATCAGGAGTTGCCACTGCAGGAGGAAGTAGTTGCTGTAGAAATATGCAACTGCAGCACAGATGGACTGAGGGGGGAAAAAAAAAACCCACAATGTAAAAAGCTTATCAGTGGATATTTCCAGGCTAGCATTAAAAGTATTATCAAATTGACATACACACAGCTTAATATGCAACTCTCAGCAGTATGCTTCTGTAGAAAATGTAATCTTAAAACCTCAACATATGTCTTAATACGATACACAACAGATGTAGTTTTTACTTGTTATTTAAGTAGTGTTCACTGCAGAAAGTGAACACAGAATTCAGAAGTGTCTGTGGCATCGTAAGATCAGTTCTCTGGTATTTGAAAACAGTTTGAGAAACAACACTGCTGAGACTGAGACAAAATCCAGAAAGCTATTTCCAGTTTCACAGCATCACAAACTACTCTATAACAAAATAGCTAGAGGCTTTGCCAAGCAGTGTTGCTTACTTGCAATCTACCCCCTTAAAAGGCAAAATTTTCATTAGAGTTTGTATAAAGAATCTTTATATTCCATGTTTATCTCATTCTTACAGATCACTGAGAACAATACAAAAATGGAGCTGTGCACATGGAAAAAGAAAATACAGTTTTGAAGCAAGCAGCTCTCAACTTTTAAACCAGACACACCCTGAGCTCTGCTCCCAGCACTAGCCTGCTCCTGGTGTGACCATGCACGACGAATTTCAGTGCTTTGCAGCAGAACTTTTCATTGAGTCTCCAGCTAGCACAGATGCATTTATTTTGACATTCTGATAACTTAAGGACAGGAAAAACATCACTTAATTCTTATTTTTGTCTGCATACCCCCCTGGTAGCTCCCAGTGATACAGTACAACAGCCACAAACTTTTCAGCTACTACTTACACAACTTGTTCCCTTTTAACTCACATTTCTGTGTCAAAGACTTAAGTAAATTCAGTAAATGACTATTTAAATAAAATCCAAGTGTGGTTAACTGTACTAGCCTTTTCACTTTAAGCTACAATTCCCAACACTTCCAACTTCCCTCAAAGCTTGTAAGTAACAGCAGTTCAATTATATAATCACACCAAGCTATGCAATCAAGCTACTCCTATCTAAAAAAACTTTTTTTCTCTCCTGCAAAAGATAAAAAACAGGCTGAAATCCTTTGCAGAAGCAACATAATTTTTCTCAGCTCACTAAAACCCCCAGCCTGGCATCTGAATAACATTCCAACAGTTGTGGTTTCCAAAGGCTGTATCATGTAATACCTGAACAAACTTAAAGATGGCAAAGGCAGGAGCACTGTCTTCTGAATACAAGAATCCTAAAATACTGAGGAGCTGAGTGTTGAAGCAACTGTCCCCCAGGCCCAACAGAAAGCTGCAGAATATGGCCACCTCTTTGCTGAAAGAGAAAGTAAATCAAGTTTAAAAGCCATGCATTCAAACAGCTTACACATTTATAAACCATTTTTTGGCAGACTTATTTGGAAAGTGTGAATGGAAGAAAGTTATCAAACTTTAAATTTCACTGGAAAAGAACTGGGAACGCTTGGCTTGGCTAAAATAATAGTTTCATCAGATTTTAATTTCTTGAATGCTAAGCCTTCTGTTACTGTGACCTGCAGTCAATTCTACACCAAATTAGAACCACTAGAAGAGCTCATTTTGGTGCCTGGAGCCACAAAACCCACAAAACAGTGAGTGACTAAAAGCTGAGACCCACATGGTGAGTTTGTAAAAACTGCAGGAATATTAGAGAAATACCAATTCACTTTGCAGAAAAATACTCCAGTTAAATAAGAGAAGCATTACCAGCATAGGCACAAATGTTTATAATTGCAAGTTAGCAGCTGTCTGCACAAACTGACAACACTGTATTTTCACACAAATTGGCAAAAATACACCCCCAAAAAAGTTGCAATGATGAGTTAAGAAAGCTCCCCATATTCTTCCCCTAACGAGCAGTGTAAGAGCCAGGCCCAGCTTGGCTCCAGTTAGACCAAGCAGACTTGGACAACCAGCATTCAGAGGCCCTGGAAACCACAGCAGCAGTGCAAGGCTGGTGCCCCCAGCTGTAGTAAAACTCAGCCAAACACTGCTTTAAAATACACCAAATTCCTGACATCTAGTACAATAGTTTTGGGTTTCACTATTGTCCTAAATGTCAGGAATGTAAGTTCTCAGCAACAGAATCACTACCAAACATCCTCATGCTTTTTATGCTTACTCCATTTAAGTTCCCACATTGAGTGCACACTAGTAGAATATCTACCTTTAATAAAAATGGAATTCTTGAAAGCCTTTTCTGTAGAGTTATTGTCACTACACAGAAAAGCAGCTTCCAGGAGCTTCCTATTACAGGAACAACCTCTTTATACAACACATCTTGAGTTCTAACCAGCCAAAGGAAGAATTTTTCATACCTTGGAATCATATAAGCAACATCATCTGTTCCTTCCATAGGAGCAATAGGGGCATCATTTGGCATGTTGAAAAAAATCAAATAAAAAGCTATGAAATGGACAACGATGCCCAGCATCACCACAGGGTTCCTGCCAAAACGATTGGTCTTGCTCAGTAAACCAAAGATTCCTCCACCTGTACAAGTGGAAAAGATGGATAATTATATCAGATCTAAAAAACAAAAACGAGTTGAAAAAAATCAAATAAAAAGCTATGAAATGGACAACGATGCCCAGCATCACCACAGGGTTCCTGCCAAAACGATTGGTCTTGCTCAGTAAACCAAAGATTCCTCCACCTGTACAAGTGGAAAAGATTGGATAATCAGATCTAAAAACCAAAAACGAACTTAAAATAATGCCAAAAAAAGCTGAAAACTTAAGATTATAAACTTCCCCCTATTGGATAACTGCAAGATTGACAGCTGTGAAGACAGTGCCAAGGAGTTTGCCAGATTTGCAAGCCCCATTTGCCAGATGACAGAACCTTTGGGTTGCTAGAGGTGTCTGAAAAATGTGGGCAGGAGAATTATCAGACGATTGCTGATGAAGAGACTTAACCTTTTTGCAGGTATTTTCCCAGCAGCCACTGTTTCCTCTGCTGTTGCAACAGTACTCAGTGAAAATGGATGGCCTTGTGCTGAGGTCTTTTAACTGCAAAAATAAGACTCACTCTTCTGATCCACGTTGGTACTGAACAAAGAGTGGTTTGTTTTAAATGCTGCAGTACTTGAGCTTAAGCAGAAACAAAATGTACCTAATGAACATTACCAGCATTCAATTTTATTCAAATACCAGATCTTATTTAACACAAGCCAACTTTTTAGAAGAAATCTTTAGAATAGTACTTTAAATTTTTTTTTTAAAGTTACAACATCACTTAAATACTAAAAATGTAAACAGAATACTAAAATAGAGAATATCAAAATGCTGAAAACTCCCTTATAACATTGTAGCCTAGTGTTTCTCTCATTTTTATGTATTTCTTTGCCCAAAAAGAGTGCAAAATCCCAGGATTCATAGCTACTAGTATTTCATGTCCCTAGTCCCCATTCACTTTACAGGGTATAATGTATAACTCACAGTGCAAGAAGGAATCATGTTGACAATTTTATCTCTAGGATTTCATTTTTTGTTCACATAATCATTGCTGGAAGCTTGAAAGACACTGTGCTGTTAAAATCCAAAACCCCCTCATTTTGAGTAACTACATCATCTTGATCCTTTTTTGTCTATAAGGTAGTCAATTCAGACTCACCTAAAATTTCTCCAACACCAATAAAAATACCAGAGAGACCAATAAGGCTTTTCTCTTCACCACCAAAGCTATTCACAGCACCAATACATGTTCCATATACTCCAGAAAAGAACGTTAATTCCAAACCTTTGAAAGCAACCAAACAAAATTGATCAATGAGCTATTATGAAAGTTACAGAACAATTCTTTATGTCTAAAAGCTGGTTTTCCCTAAAGCACCTTTCAAATACATCCATGTATTTGAAAGTTATGTGTAATAGAAGAAATTAGGGAATTTTAAGCCATGTAATTATGATATTCTCTTATGCCAGTGTAAAAAAAAAAAATAATAAAGATTCACTGTGTGACTAAATAGAGCCACGTGCACTTGGGTTCAGCACCACTTTTGTTGATACAAGCTCTACATATAGTTTATATTTCTGCTTTGCAAGAATTTTGGAATTTCATATGTAAGGGTTTGGTTTTTTTTCCCCTCCAAGTCACAGCATTCCTAAGAAGACTCCCTGCACCTCCAAACACTCCAAAAGAAGAGCTAAGATTCCTAAAATAGACTGCTACTTTTCTACACATAATGAACTAAAGCCAAGGAAAAACAACTGCTTCTAATTTACCTGCCTTGCCTTTTGCTACTGCTATTTTGGAAATTAAAGCTTTCGTTGGCCTTACAGGAGTTTGTATTTTTCCTTCATAAAGTGACAACGTTGACCAAGAGCCAGCAGGTGGCAGCAGCTGTTTTTTTCCAAGCTTGACTGATTATTTTTTTCCTGCTACATCAAAGACCAAATTTCAGATTAATCAGGCAAAACTTGGCCAATTCCCTTCCCTTGTTGCTTTGCTCCACATCCCGTTTCAGTAAACGTCTGAGAGGAATTCAGTTTTGTTAATTTGGGTCAACACAATATTGGAGATGCTGTGAAGCAACTTGTAACTCAGATTAGTGGCTGGTACAAGCTGAGTTCATAGCTACCACTGCTATTTCTCTGCCAGAAGCTGCCTGTAAACTGTGGTAGATGTTATGACACTGTTTATAGATAAATTTTATTTAAATCTGTCTCTTCATGTACAAGAGCCAACAACAATTTCTCATTATCATGACTCAGAAAACAGGTTTAATCAAAGTTGCTAAAAAGAAAAGAGAACTCTTGCCACAGCAAATACTAGTGACAAAAATAGTTGAAAAGGGCCAAACTTTTTCCTGCTAGAACCAAGAGTGAAATGAAGACTGCAAGTAATCTCCCACACCTCAATGGATGGGACAGTGTATTGTACAAAAATCCCTCCTCCCATACAGAATCACTCCCCAGAACACACAGTTAGTAACTCATCCAAAATTAATTGAAATACTGAAATCCTGTTTGCAGAGATACAGAATTGTAATCCTGCTCTAGGGTGAAAATTCCAAACAATGCCCTGACAATGATACACAATTACACACTGCTTGCTTCATACCTGTGTAGGCTGTTGTAACACTGAGAAGCAGAATCTCTTTGGTGAAGCTCAGCTTTATAGATTTCTCTGTAAACACATAATAAAGGATATTAATAAACTGAAAAGGTCATTAAGATAATCTACACTTTGTTTTGCTCCTCACAAAAATATGTTAAAATTATGCAAACTATCTTTATTACAGTGTACAGAGTGCTAAACAAACCAACCTTGACACTCCCTTTGAAAGAAATGCTGTTATCTGAAATAATTTTTTGCAAGAAATGCAAGAGGGTAAATATTAAAGGGAGGATACACAGTCTCCAATTAGCAATTTTCTGATCATTGTATTTTTATACTCTCAGTTCATGTCACTTGTGTCCCAAAAGGGTAAATAAATTCTTAGTGAAGATCCCCATGTTCTCAAAAAAACTTAAGTCACAGGCAGGTCATATCAAACTTCAATGGAAATTGCAGATGTTCCAGTTCAGTATTGCTGTGTTTAAGTGGTATAATTCAGTGACAAACTAAAACACCATACAGCTACTATTTTACCTTGTTATGTTAGTGAGGGTTTTTTTAATTAAAAAAACCACCACCACAAATTTTCATGCACTTGCTTTCCCAAGTGGTGACCTTTTGTTTTTGAGCTCATCTATTTAAGGAAGCTGTTGTAAAGTAGCCTGCATCTCAAACTACATGAAGGAAGTACCCCTCCAAATCTCTCCTGCACTATACTAGTAATTGAAGTGAAGTCTACCTCACTTTCTTTGCTTGCAAGCAGGCTTTGTTTGTGGGTATCCCCACCTGAAAGGAGCACTTCTGGAGCACAGCCAGCCCGCCCATGCCCACCAGACATCACCAGTGATTTGCTCACACATTACATCAGTGGTTCTGAAATTTTCCCAGTTGCAAACCCATTTTGGCTAGGCTCAAAATCACAAATGCTCACAGAGACAATGGAATTCCTATCAGGCTCAAAACTCATCATCTCTATGTGAACTGTCACCTCTGCCATCTGGCAGTCACTCTTCCAAGCAGGCCACCCCTGAAGGTGTATATTCAACATGGAATGACTGAATTGGGTTCTTAAAACCTTACTTATTCACAAATTTTTTTTCCAAAGTCATTTGCACACGTACACATTAGCACAGTCATGGAGAGATGGAAAGGATATGTCAGTACTTACTGAAGGCAGCCACTGCTCTCATCATGTTGTTTTTTGCAGACCTGGGTAAAAAAAAAAGACAGTCAAAATGGAAAAAGAACCACCATGTGATATTGCCATACTGGAAGGCACTTTAATTTTTCAAATCTTCTGTACATTTCCTATCACATCACTATGTACTGGAATATGCTAGTATATTATTAAAAGTTTCTGAGAATATAAATTACTAACCACAAAATTTGCCTTCTGCACTAGTGAATGCCACTCAAAAGTTAACCTGCTTAACAGAGTCTTCTGAGCATTTTTAGCTTTGAATATGTTTTCACTGATGTACTTGCTGATTTTTTTTTTCTAACGTTTTCATTGTTCTTTAAATGAAGCAAAAATATTTAAACTGATGCCTCAGGCAACCCTGAACTGAATCTATCCATAGTGTACCTAGGCGTATCTAATGTATTTATCAGAGTGGCATATATATATACATTTAGAGAAGATATGAAAACATTCAGTATGCAAAAGTTAACCTATAAAAAGGGAGTAAGTTCTGCTTATTCTAGCCTTTAAACTGGGCTGATAAGGGCAAGATAGACTACGAAAGGCAAATACATGTTTAGTAATTAGCAGAGAAAAGAGCTAATAGATATCTCTCCAAAGGCACTTACTTATTAATGGAAAAACTTAATGTGCAGTGCTGCACTCCACCCTTGAAAATGTTATATAAAGAACATTAACTCTCACTTTAATGTTAAAGTACAGACACTTTCCTATTAGATCTGTAAATTCTACAGGTGGCTCATAACATTCACAGTTCCAGCACAGGAAGGAAAGTGAATGCATGATGTGCCACTGAGGAGCATGAGCACGAGCACAGATGAGTGTATGTGACAACATGTTATTGCCACAACGCTTACGAGCTGTCCCCCAGGACTTCATTAGCAGAATCTTCCTCCCCTGGAGCTTTGGTGTCCTCTTGTCTCCTAATCAGAAAGAACAGAACTGTGCCCACAAGACTGATAACAGTCAGAGCAATGAAGACAGTTCTGCGATCACTCTCTGTGGAAAAACAAAGAATTATCATAACCAGAGGTGCAAGAACAATTCAAACCAGTTCAGCTACTTTCAAAGAACCAGAACAGACATACTACATATACAGTTTTTAAGACACACTAATTTTCTAACTTACCTCCCAAATGAAGGAAAAGGTACCCAGCTGCTGGCAAACTCCTGTCTCAGTTTTAGGATGCCAATAAAACATTGGCATATTAAAGACTGTCACTTGCATTTTCTGCCGTGCAAAGGCTATGACCAAGGAGGAGCCAATTAGCAAAGGAAGTGCATAAATTATTAGCAGAAAAAAGTACATCTTTCTAAATTTACATAATTCAGAGTGGACAAAGTACCACAAACCCCTTCAGATGTCTAAAAAAGCTGGAGGAAGGTAATCACTGCCCTCACACCAGCTCTGCTGCACTAACTGATTTGTGTGGCACAGAAGTGTCTGTAATACAGAAATCTTTCCCATTTACTAACATTAAGCAGAAAAAAAACCCCAAGAAACAGCTAATAGTTGTAATTGAACTAGTGTATGATTCCAAAGATAGTGTCTATACTTGTATTTATTTCCCCTTTAGCTTAAAAATAAACATCATGTTGTTCTACATCAATTAAAAATAACCTGTGTGAGTACAGGTCAAAACAAGAATGTGCTTCACCTTGAAATGCCTGTAAAAATCTTTACTTAGGTAGTAGAAGGAAGGATTAATTTATATTTAAACATCATCAGGTCTTCTGACACCCACACTTTTTAATAAAAGAGTCTCAAGACACTGAAAGATGGAGGAAATTTAACAGCAGAACTCCCTCACAGTTAATTGCTCTATTCTGTGATTAGCAAGAGCAAAGAAATTTAGACTGCACAGAATTTCAAGCCCACCAGGTTCAAACCATCTCCAATACTTTCAAGAACCTTTAAACCTTTGTGGTAAAGGTGAAGGAATGTGGGAGTTGACCTTTAAAAAAAAAAAAAAAAAAAATCAATTTGTGCTGTGCTCCTAAGCCCATGTGTGTGGAGAACCTGGAAAGATGGATCTAACAGAGGCATGAAGTGGACTACCCATCTTAACAGGGCAGTATTTCTGAAGGCTAATCATTATCAATCATATATCAACACCTTATTCCTGACTGACTACAGCAGAAGTAGCCTCATGTTAAAAGAGCTGACCATTCTAGTAGATATTTTACTTTAAGACTACAATAAGGAAACTCTCACAGTCATTATACAACAGCCTACAATAAGGAAACTCACAGTTACTATATTACAGGACAATCAACCTTATTTGTTTACAAAATGTAGTTTGTTGGGTTTTTTTTCCCAGCAATGCTTAGGTTTTATAACTAAATCTTAGATTTCACCCTATTTTCACCACTGCCATTTTCTTAATTTACATGCCCACACACCATGCCTTAAATACTTCCCAGAAATTGCTGCTTTAAAACCACTGAGTCTCAAACACTATTCACCTTCTTGAGAATATTAAAATCCACTGTTCTCAAGTTTCTGCTCTTCACCAGTCTAGCATGTCAAGTGAAAAACTGTAGTACTGACTACAACCCCATTGGGAAGTTAACCATCACAGACCATGCCAAGAAAGGAAGACTGAGTTCTTTACACACTCTTCCCACAATGCTGGGAGTTTAAGAAGCAGCAGCCATCACTCTCAGTCCAGCTGCACATCTCAACCTCTGCCTTGCTCACTACTTTGTGCCAGCACAATGACTGCTGCAGCCATGAAGTGAACTGGGATGTTTCCCTTTATTTTCCTTTACTTCTTAGATTAATTAGTCTCTAATCTAACACAGGAGGATGGTCTACACCAGAACTTACTTTGGAATGGGATCGCATGTATATTAAACATGCAGCCATTCCAAAATACCTTGCCCCCAAAAATATGCATATTTTGGCATAGCCATGTCTGCACAGGGAAAAAAAACCCAGAGCAGGTATCACAGAAAGCCTTTTCTAAACCAGCACTTTGAATAATTTCACAGACAACAACCTGAAAGAATGTACTCAGTGCATGCAGGAAAAAACATGCCTAATAACAAGGGCCACAAGTACCACAGAACACCGAAGCAAAACATACTCCAAAAACAGTCTAATAATAAACTGGGGGAAAAAAAAGAGTCTACTATTGTCTAAGTCTCTTTCCACTTTCCAGTTCATTATTTCATCCATTTATTCATGCTATAACTTAGAGGATGGCTTTGCATATAAACAAGCAACACCCACCTGATATGCGAGTTTTTCCTTGCCAAGCAAAGTATATGTAGAGGTTTCCAAAAAACAAGCTGCAAAGAAAAAGGACAACACGGGTGAGCAGCACTTCCATGGTAAGACAAAGGCTGTAGTATCACAGTAACACCACCCTATGGAAAAACTCACACTGTGCAACTGTGAAACAACTAAAGACACTAATCACTCTCCATGCAAACTGCTTACTTGATATAAAACTTCAAGCACAGTAGAGGATTCTTCCTCATGAGCTGGCTATTCACATTCAGCAGCCAAAACACAAGGTGGGAGCAAAAATGAGGAAATCTCCATCCAAGTTGCCTCTCTTTAATTTTGGAAGGGTGTAAGCTAGAAAGCTGACATATTCACGGAGCTGATTTTGTTATACTTCCCTAGAAGAGTCACAAATCTTGCTCAAATTATTGCCTCAACAATGCTACATTGGCTGTTAACTGCTCAAGGGAAATCCTCTGTTCCTACCTACAGTTTCCTGAAATATAATAATTCTGAAAGAACAGTGATTCAAAACAGCCTTAAAGTTTTCTCATACAAAAATCACACATTTTACTCACTATAAAACACACTGGTTTATGGAAATTGCTACTCTGGCAAGATACTGTTATGCTAATTCCCAAACCTGACATTTGAGGAACACAGGAAGTGTTCAAACTGATGTTCTACTCACCCAGTATTCTGTCCCCACAACAGCATCAGCAATGCCACCTAGTGCAGGCTCACCATCCTAAGCACCTTCTGCATTCATCCCCCTTGTTACCTCCCAACATCCAAAACTGCTGTGCTAGGGGTGGTAAAAGGCAGCTCTCCTCGGGAACCATTTTCAGTCCTGTTGCCAATGCATTTGTTTGATCCCTTTTTTGTCTTGCTGACACAGTCCAACTCTCATAGCAGTAAGATCCAGAAGTTTAATCACCCACTGTATAAAGAAGCACTTGATTTGTTTCAAACAAATCCTCTTCTACTTGCACCAAGTTCCCTAAGTTCTAGTACAGCAGCATTTCAGCAGTAACAGTTCTACATTCAGCTCACCTGGCACCTGCATGTTTTAGTAACCTATCAGTACAACCCTCCTCAGATGCTTTTTCTCCAAAGGAAGGAGTCACAGCCTTTGTACTCTCTTCAAGTCAGCAGCTCTATATTCTTGGGCATTTTTGTTATTTTTCCCCATACCTTAATTGCATTACAGTTTCCCAAGAGGAATAAACCATATCTGCCCAAAACACTCATGAGCAGCAAAGCAGTGTGCACTGTCTTGCTCTTACTACCCTTCTCAATGCTGAGCCTTCTGTTGAATTTTTTTGGTCAAGGTAGCATTTGGAGCTTAACATCAGAGAACTACCAAGAAGATGATGAAAAAGATGATCTCTTTTCTGACTTCTGGTTGTCAGGGCCAACTAGAATATCTTCACTTCAGCCAGGCAGTGAGCAGCAACATCCAGCTGCTGGCACTGTGAAGGAGAACTAAAAGTCAAGGGGGATAACTCATCCAGCACAGAAGATGCCTTTTCAGTAGAGCCCAGCCCTGCAGTCCTCAAGCAGGGCAGGCAGGGCAGAGACAGCCACAGACTGAAGGCAGGGTCAGCCAAACATCTAGACCACCACACAAACTTGTGTTGATGAGGCAGGTTTGAGGTCAGGCCAGGAAGTCAGTCTGTGGCCTAGAGCCTAGACCACCAAGATCTGTAACCAGGTATAACTGAGGCTGAGCTAGAGAGCAGCACTCCCCCAACAGAGCTGCAGAAGAACTGAGGGCCAGGGGCTGAGTTTAAATGGGGCTCCTGGGCCCATGGGCAGATGGGAAGGGTGTGGTGGAGGTGCCAGGTGAGGCTGCTCAGGACCATTAGGCCTTAGCAGTGCACTCAGGATTAGCACAGCCTCCACAATCAACAAGATTTCTGTCCCACATGTCAAATGCTCCCCTAACAGAAACCTATCTCATGTCCAGTGGGGAGGCTTACAACATGCAACTTTCCTTTATTGTTCTATCATGCACAAGAGCAGTAGGAATGGTGCTTCCAGCTCTCCTTCCCACTTCACTGACTGCAAGGTAACAGGGGAGAATTTTTGACGCAGTCTCCCACTTATCAAAAAAAAAAAAATAAAACGCATATACAACGAAAAAAAAGGATTAACAAATAGAGCTTACCTGGATTGTAAGAGTGCCCAAAACACTCCACTGTTCCTGCCAATGGTGTTTTCATCAGAATTTACAGTCAAGCAGTTTCCCTGTGCTGTCCAGAGCACTGCAATACACAGAACACATTGGTCAGGAAGTAGAAATATTTTAGAGGTATATTCAAATACAGGAAAGAAGAGTAAACAGGTTAAGAACAGTGCTTACCAGCAGCTGCAATGCCAATAAAAACAGAAGCAGTGTAGAAAGCCCACGTAGCAGGTTGGATAAAAACTGCAATGTATAGGCTAGAACAGAACAAATCAGTTTATTGGATACGGACTTAAAGTGGATAATGCTCCTTTACAATCAGATATCTCACTCAACTTCTTCTGAATCAGCTACTCCCTCATAAGTGACACTGGAAAATAATTTAGGTCATACGTGGAAGAAAGGTCATCTATTTACTCCACTCAGCATGTAGAAAATTTTTTAAATCTAGTCATTAACCTGAAACCACAACCCGAACTCCACAGTCAGCAAAGCCTGGAAATGCTGTGGAAAAATAACTATTTGCAGTAAGCTGAAGTACTCTGCAGTTACACATCCATCAACAGTATCTCTGCAAAATGCTCTCCTTAGCCAGGGAGAATTTCACATATTACACAGCCTCATGTGTAAATAAATGAAAGAAGGATTTCAAAGGAAGAGGACAGAAAAAATCAAAATTAATACTTACCTATAAAATATGCCACTAACAACCATGGAGAGTTGAGGTCCCACTATTGCAACCACCGAAGGCGATATAAGATTTGATGCTGAGAACACTCCATAAATAACAGACATGCTAAATAAATAAAAAGAAAGATGATTAAGTAATTAATATATAGTGTATAAGTGCAACTGATTTAAGAATGTCCACTTGATTCCAAAATACCAAGTTATGTACATGCATAACTTGAGTAACTGCATAACTTTCATGGGAAAACATTTCCTTCTTTTTATCACCAGCACACTCCACATTCTCTATCAGTCACGTTTTAATCTTTTGCCAAACAAACCACAGAAGTTTCACAGATGTATTTTGTGCTGGTTGTATTTCTAGCTTAAATTAAGGCAGTAAACTCTTCAAAGCAGCCACCAGGTTTTCCTGTATGACAGAATAATTTGGCATACAAGAGGTCCCCAGTCGTGCTTGGTGAGCTTGGGTATGCCAGCACAATAAACAAACAGAATGGCTTTTTGTGGCTCTGCTTCTTGCCTTTCTGGCTCCTCCTCTCCCATTTACGCTGCAGCATTTCACAGAAGCTGATCCACACCAGCTATCCTACACAGAGGAGTACAAAGGCAAACAACCAAGGCCTTAGTTACAGTTAAAATTCCACATGATTTTCACCTCCTAAAATAAAGTGCCATGAATGTGATGACCATGTGGTAGTTTTTATCCATACAAAGAAAACCTGCAAAACAGGTATGTAGTTCAATGAGAAACACTTCAGAGCAGAACTAGAGGCAATGTGAGAAGCCTGTTTTAAATGGCTTTAAGTATGTTATTAAATTGTGAAGTCAGCAGAACACTACAATCTCTTGAGAGCACCTCTCTACCAGATGGAATTCTGACCAGCTTCACCCTGCAAGGAGCAAAGTAACAAGATCTGTGTCAATTACCTTGTGTAGCCACTGCCATGAAAATCCGTGTTGTTTAAATTTGTGATAACAGTTTGCTGTGAGGAGAAAAAAAAACATACATTGTAATATGTTAGAATACATTTTGCAGTTTGAGAACACTTGCAGCAGCCTGAAGTCAGTAACAAACTTTAGAATTACTCATTAATGAACTCTGCAAAGCACTTAAAACCATTGAAAGCATTAATTAAAACTCATAACAGCTCCACAGTGAAGGTGAAGGAGATATTTGGCAGGGGAACACCTACATTTGTAGCAGTAATTCATACTTCAGCACTATATCATGATTTCATCAGAGCCCTTAAAAAATTTCACAAAACTTTTGTTTCACTAAACACCTCTGGTAGGTGTGACAACCTTAATTTAAAAGGGAGGGGGTGGGGGAGGGGAGGAAGAAGTTTCAAACTACTCTCAATTTAACCTAACCATGAACTTCTGGTAAGAGTTTCCATTCTCTCTGGCTTCCCATTATTTCCTGTTTCCTTTTTTTTCCCCTTGAATCAGCTTTAGTGATCATGAGACCATGTAATTAGCTGCGTTGGCAAGCAGATCTGATTGAAAGTCACTTGTAATGACTTTAACAACAATAAATAACACAATTACACGATCAGTTCAGTGAGATCCTGTGAATTCATTGCAGAACTATGAAGACCTCTGGGCTGTATTTAAGTTATGGTATCAAGCTGCACTATGACTGTTACAAAAACTATCCTAAGTAGTTATTTCTGTAATGCATTGCAGGGCATTTATATGTCTGAACCCAGAAAGGATTCTTTTTTGCACACAAGGAAAGAGAAGCTGTAGGAGCTGTAGGCTCAAGAGGTATGTTGAAATCTAACTGTCTTTCAGGCATGTAACTAATACTGAAAGCAATGTCAACAACTCAGCAAGTTAGAGGATCTGGGCTAAATATCTCAGCAGGATTCTAAAAATTTAAGTAGTACGAGTGCAATCTGCTTTTAATAGCAAGTTTGGAATGTGTTATGCTCGATTTTGCTTCAGCATGCAGAGATACATGATACTAAAGCAGTAAATTACTTATTCAGGTGGAAGGTGACTTGGCAGTTCTAGCTCTTGGGGATGTCTGACTACTTGTCAGATGTTATCTTCATACTCCTTATCAATGCATAGTTTTGTTAGAACAGAAAAATAAGCTAGATGAGGAAAAACACACTAGAAAAAAACTAGGGGCATGATTAATAATAACTTAAGCAGCTACTTTGAAAGGGACTATATGGGATAATCAGAAATATGGAAGGTCTAATGTAACTCAGTTTTTAAATATTTCAAGGGTCAAAACAGGCATTATTTTCAAGTTCAAATATCTGATAAGATTCATTTTCTACTTTCTAAGGAATCAGGCACAGTTACATATGTAGCTGTGCTATCTTAAAGAAATAAACCACTTAATTATCCATCTAACCGACTTAATCTAGTTAACACTAAACCAAAAGGAAAGAGGTGTCAAGGTGTCTTGCACATTAAAAAATCCCAAATAAAGCAACTCTTACATTAGAGTACACAGAAGACAAGACAGGATGAATAACTGTGATAGAAATGTAGTAAGTTTTGAAATTCACACCTACCGCAATATTTCCACATGTTTGGAAAGCAGTGAATATAAACATAAATGAGACTCCCAGAAGAATTATGTTGAAAAGTTTTTTTGATTCAGGAGACATTCTGAAGTTTCTTGCCAAGTCCTCTGCTTCAGTCCGGGAAAACTCTTATTTTCTTTTAAAAGTTTTCTCTTAGCCTCTGTTAAAAGCAAACAGGCAAAAAGAATAGAACAACAAAAAAAAAAAAAAAAAAAAAAAAAAAAACTTCAAAAAAGAATGTTTGTTAAAGCTTGTCAGGTGCTAGGATGTAACCATCAATTAAACAGGTAACCCAGTAACTCTCTTAAATAATGAACAGCAAAATCAGTAACAAAAACCAAACCCAAATAAATCCAAACAACAAAAGTTAAAGACCAAGGTTCTCTCTACCTCCTCCCATGAAGTTAACAGAGCAGACAGCAGCGTCCCCCAAACAAAGCAGTTAGTTAATGAGCTCAGTTTCTTGCCATTGTTCTAAACCAGAATTCTGGTCCGCAGCCTTTAAGTCGCCTGACGAAGGAAGGATGAGACATTGGTACAGACCAGTCATCGCCATGCACGTCGGACAGGAAATAAGGAACATTTCACAACCTCCATCAGCTGACCCAGCCAGCAAGCCCTCATGCATTATGGGACATGCAGTTTTTGGGGAGTACTTTTTCTCCTTGAAAGGGTGGAAATCTCCTCATCTTTAAAACAGAAAGATTTATAGCAGTTTTTAAGAATTATTATCTCTATCTACTATATAATACCCAGGAAGATAATAAAAAGACTTAGAATGTCATCTAAGAAAGCTGCCTAATTAGCTGAATTCACACACAAATAGTCTTTCCAAAGGGAAAATTATTCCCACCTCAGAGAAACTATGTACCTCAGTGCCCCCAACACACTCTGCACAGTGCTTCTGCCTTTCGTTGGCTCAGGGACTCTGGAAACACTATTCATAAACTTCCACTGCTCTGTCTCAAGGCTCAACATTTGTTTTTAGTAATCACCCTGAGTATTTTACTTCACTGTATTTCTAAATAACAAATTTAAGATCCACTGCTCTATAGGTTTTAAAGATCTCTGTTAAAATATCAGGAAAATTGAAAGAGGATCCCACATGGAGTGAATGTCTGCTTTTTACTATTATTATCTTCTGTCCACTCTCTTTGGCCTCCAAGTCAGGATTGAGGCATTCAGTTAAACCAGCTCCACTTAACTGCTGACCAAAGAGGAAGGAAAGGAAACATAGAAAAGTGACTGAAATGACAAATCGCCAAATTCTACCTCTGCTATCTACAGTAAAGGACTTAAATAAAATCTGCAGTCCTGCTGGAGTTACAGATTTAATACCCTTTTAATTCCCAAGTTTTTTTTTTTTTTTTTTTTCAAAACAATATCTATTTTTCACTCGTGGAATAAAGTCAGTAGGCTTATTCAGGGGAAGAAAGTCAGTATGATTATTCAGAGGCTGCTTTACAAAGATCCAATTAGAATATCAAGCTGGGGTGTTTGTTTTTAACACAAGCAAAGCTTTCTTCTTTTATTATATGATGAATTTATAGTAACAGATTTTTAAGATGCTCTAGGCACTGTGTCCCACTCATGCATTCATCTCCTTGTGCCAGCAGAAACATTCGGCTAGCTGCATGCCAAACTGGGCTGGTGTGCTGGACTAATTCTTTTGGCAACAGCAGCGGCTTGTATTGAAGTGATACTAGGGAGGAAAGGATGCAGCAAGCTCTTCCTGGCATTTTAGGGGAATCATTGTGAAGATAAACTTCAAATTTGTTCTTAGAGAATAGGTTTCCGATGAATCAAATTTTAAATCAAAATTCTCTGGGATAAAAAAAAAAAAATGGCATGAAGCAATAGAAAATGTGAAAATCAGTACTAGTTTATTTATTAAGTCTCTTGTAGCAGAAAACAAACTCGTGCTTTTTTGTTTTGTATCAATGACACTGCTTATTTTTATACTTCTTCAGTGAAAAAAAAACCAAAACTACTGTAGCAATAAAGATTTAAATTTTAATACTAAATTGTTTTCTCATGTCATTCCTGGCATTACTTTAAACAAATCAGTAGGGAACTGCCTCTTTATTTCATTAAGTCTCTTGTAGCAGAAAACAAACTCGTGCTTTTTTGTTTTGTATCAATGACACTGCTTATTTTTATACTTCTTCAGTGAAAAAAAAACCAAAACTACTGTAGCAATAAAGATTTAAATTTTAATACTAAATTGTTTTCTCATGTCATTCCTGGCATTACTTTAAACAAATCAGTAGGGAACTGCCTCTTTACTTCTATTTTTTTTTTAAACATAGTACCCTGAAACAGACAGGTAGAATCATTTACCATTGTTGCAAGCTGACAGCTGGTGTTAACAGCTCATACCCAGAATGTGGGCACTTTATTCAGTGCCTGAGGTGACATAGCAACAACTGTCAGGGCAGGGGAGCAGCTTTCACCAAATTCCTTACACAAGACTCATAGAACTCGCTGGTCACCCTCCCACAGGGGCTGTGCCAATCGTCTCCCTTGTGCCACC